CCATTTCACTCACTGGGTTGAGACCATCCCTCTCCCAGGGGTCACTGCTACAAATGTAATTAGGTTATTACTAGAAAACATAATCCCAAGCTTTGGGGTTATAGAAAATACAGACTCAGACAATGGGAGTCATTTCACTGCCAATGTCCTTAAGGGACTTATGAAGGCTCTAGAGATCAAACGGGAATATCATTCTCCCCAGCATCCACCTTCCTTAGGGAGAGTTGAAAGAATGAATCAGATTCTTAAAAACCAATGCACTAAATTAGTTTTAGAGACCAGATTACCTTGGACTAAATATCTTCCCGTAGCACTACTCAGAATTAGGACGGCCCCTCAGAAGGCCTCTCCTCCTACGAAATGCTTTATGGGCTTCCTTACCTTAGCTCTGTTACTGATGTACCTTCATTTGAAACTAAAGACTATTTCCTCAAAAATTATATACTTGGCTTGTCCTCTATTTTACTTTGTCTTACGAAAAAAGGATTGTTAGCACAGGCTCCTCCTCTTGACTTTCCTGTTCACCCACACCAGCCTGGTGATTATGTGCTAATCAAGACCTGGAAAGAATATAAGTTTGAGCCAGCATGGGACAGACCCTTCTTGGTCCTGCTGACCATGGAGACAGCTGTCCAGACCGCAGAGCAGGGATGGACTCATCACACATGGGTAAAGAAGGCACCCCCCCCACCTGACCAGAAGGAACAATGGGCTGTGCTCTCACATCCAGGCAACACCAAAGTGACTTTAAAAAGACTATAGTTAAAATATTCTTTCCCTTTTATCTGAGAAATGCTTATTATTAATGTAACTCAGAGTACTTTTCCCTTAATTGTTGAATTTGATGCATGCCAGATCCTTCCTTGTGGAGGCCTTATGTCCCAACTCCAGCTCCAAGGATACTCCTTTTATATGTGCCCCATGCCGGGACCCACAGGGAAGCTGGTATCTGTCCAGAGTGGATGGATGTGGGGTGAAACACTGGGTATAAAGGATATACTTCTCCCTTTTATGACAATCCTAAGGGCTGGACCAGACCCTCGGGCACTGGAAAGACTCCAATTTCTATCCTCCAGAAAAATTGACAGTCTTTTAACAGACTACAGTCAAAATTACAGCTGTTTCAAACACACCCCTCTCCTACTTGTAAAGATAAACAATGTAACCCACTTAGATTAGTCATAGAAAGCCCTTGGAGTATGACACAAGGACCATCTATATTTTGTAGATATGGGTTGGGGCATATGTCTCAGGGACAGACCCATTAGGTGCCTTTGAGCTCCATACCCCTCCTAGGGAACATCCAGTTCTACCTCCACTCCAATGTTACCTACACGTTTGTACAACAATCAAACTCAGGTAGCTGTAGTAGAAGTCAAGGACCTAAGACAAACTGTGGCTATTGAAATTGGGTACAGGGATACAAATGCTTGGATGGAATGGATAAAAAGCTGACCACACATTAAATAAGAGCAATTGCTATGTTTGTACTTCTGCGAGACCAGAGTCTCAGGTGGTCCCATTTTCATTAGGATGGTCCTCAGATCCAGATGGAATGTATTGCATGTTGGCTCTGTTTCAGGATGCCAAAACTTGGGGCAACAAATCCTGTTGGATGCTATCACTACTGTTCCCAAAGGTCAGAGGTCCTGCAGGTCAGCCCGGAGGACTATTAGGCCACCCACCCTGGGCGTCAATTATACCTCATGTCTCACCAGACAGGGGGAAAGATTGACAGATGTGGGAAACCTGACAGGATGCAGCGATAGCCAGTCCTTCAACAGCCTCACAAACCAGTCCACACTCTCAGTGGGCAGAGCTGATGCCTGGTGGTACTGTGGAGGACCTGTACTTAAGACTCTCCCAGATAACTGGGCAGGCACCAGTGCTTTGATGCAGTTGGCAATCCCTTTTACCCTAGCATTTAGATTCCTAGCCTGTGCTGCAACATCTAGAAAAAGGAGAGACATAGACATAGACACTGCAGCTAACCGCAGAGGCTCCTTTGATCCCCATGTTTACACTGATGCCATTGGGGTTCCTGGGGGAGTGCCAAACTAATTCAGTGGGGTTTCAATCAGTACTCTTTTGGTGGTCCACTATAAATAAAAATGTCAATTGGATTAATTATATTTATTATAACCAACAAAGGTTTGTTAACTTTACCAGGGATACCATCAAAGGAATAACAGAGCAATTGGGACCAACTAGCCAGATGGCTTGGGAGAACAGGCTAGCATTAGACGATATTGGCTGAAAAGGCAGGAGTTTGTGTAATGATTGGAGTTTCATGTTGCACATATATCCCAAATAATACAGCCCCTGATGGAACTATTACCAAGGCCCTACAGGGATTAACTACCCTATCTAACAAGCTAGCTGAAAACTCAGGTATAAATGATCCCTTCGCTGTCTTAATGGAAAATTGGTTTGGAAGGACTGGATGACCTCAATCTTAACCTCCTTGATTGCAGTGGCTGGAGTTTTAATTTTAGTAGGATGCTGCATAATTCCTTGTGTCTGAGGACTAATACAGCAGTTAATTGAGACAGCCCTCACCAAACAATACACCCCCCCCACCAAAATAACTTGTTTCTATTAGAAATGCAGAAACATGAGAGCCAGTGGCTCCTAAATGAGTTTGAAGAAAAGAATTTAAATTAAAAGAAGGGGAAATTGTAAGAAAAATGCTCTTTTCTATGAAAGTATTTGTTACCCTCTTAGATTACTTAAAAATTCCTCAGGTTGCCATCTTAGATGACTTGCATGTTTAAAGGGTCCTTGCTGCTTCTTCCGGATTCCTGTACAATTCCACTGCCCGCCAATCTGCATGCCCTAACCCATCCCCCACACCTTTCAGCCAATCGGGAAAGACTGTGAACCTTTGACCTGGACAAATCCCAGGTGAGGGGCAGGTACAACCGTGTCAGGGATAAAAGGAGGAGCCACTGTCAGTCATTTTGTGTCTGCGTATTTGCTTAGCTGGAGTGAGCATGTGCTTGCACCCTCTTGATCAAGAGAAAATTGCCTTGTCAAGATTTTGTCTCTTATGTGTCTGTTTTTGGCACTGGGTGGTTATCAACACTTTTATTCCACTGGAGCAAAGGGGCTAGATGCAAGTTCTGAGTCGGCTAGCACTCTGTATAGGATTTTTGGTTCACCTGTGCTGAGGGAACAACTACTGCAAAGAAATGGCTTTGGGACTGTAGATCCAGGGCTTTTACAGAGCGTGGAGACAGTTTCCTGCCTCACTTAGGTCTCTTCCTAGATGATTCCTAATATACTTTGAGGCATAAAAATAACTGATTAAATGTTGCCAACTTTCTCCCATGGTTCCTGATTTATATAAACTTTTGGACATCCAACATTGACTTGCATTGTGGTATTACTGCTTGCATTATTCACAGAGGTGGCAAAGTACTCTTTGTACACAATAGGCTCTCATTAAATCATTCCTGAACCAGACAACACAAATGCTTTTACTATTTATCCCTTATCATGCAGTATACATTGTTGACTTTGAAATCAAACTGTCACTTTTAGGGGGATAATATACACATGTACTTAAGCTTCATACTTTCTTCATGTAACTTGGCTGCTACATAATTTATAAAAAGGAGTGTATGCATCAGGTATCTGTAATGGATGGTCTGAATGAGTGAGAATGGAGGAGGTAATGGCATTTTTTTTAGAATCTGAAAAAGATTAAATTCTAATAATTCTTCCTATTCATTTGAGACTCCCAATTTCAGTTTTTATTTCCTGTTTTAGAGTAGATCGCTGGAAGAGTAATTAGGATGTGAAGGACAAATTGTTTTATATATGAAATTTAAATCGCTTTATTAATAAGACTAGCAACAGTTAAGTTGCTGGGAGTATGCTCAAATGGTAGAGTACATGCTTAGCAAGCCAGAAGCCTAAGGTCAAACCCCAATTCTGCTATATGACTAGCAGAATACACTATTTTGTTAATGCTTTTTGGAGGAAAGAAAAACTATGTATCATAGTTAAGGAAGGAAACAAGTTTTTAAAAAGATTTATTCTTAGCTTTGAAATGTGTTTATAATCAGATTTGAAAACATGATTATTATATATAAATTTAATGCATATTAAGGATTTAAAAGCCTCTTCATGCTACTAGCTCTGAGTTCAAACTGCTTTATCCCTTTCCTTATTAAACATAAGGAAATAGCCAATGTGAGCATCACCTTGTGCTCAGCTTATTTTCTTCCTTGGTGGTGGGCTTAGCAGGGATCACAATCCAGGTCCTGTGATAGCGCTGAAGATAAAGCAGGTACAATCAGTGCCATTTGAAAGCAAGGATAGTATCTGAATTTTTACTTGAAGTAATTTTAGGAATCATACAAAGGATTTGCCCTGAGGATTCTCCTTTTCTTGTAATCATGCTGACTTAAGGATGAAGAAATGGTCAGAGGAAAACCCTATTGTAATCTTTATTCGCCTTGACTTTTGAACAGATGTAATTCCAGCAGAATCAATGTATGCATTAAGGAAAATGACTTCAGTGTTAACCTCTACAAAACCTCCTAAAATAGAAGCTAAACTAAAAGGAATGATCTGAATGAAAATAACTGCTTAGAAACCTCATTTCAATTAGTCAATAACACAATCTAAAAGAAAAGGAAATGTTTATTTTATTTGTAAAATACTTCTAGTGATCAAATATAAAGATTTTTTTGGGCGGGAATACTGAGATTTGAACTCAAGGCTTTGTGATTTTGGGGCAGGTGCTCTATCACTTCAACCACATCCCAGCATATAAAGAGTTTTTATTAGTTAATAAATAATTTTAAGGTAGACAATTGAAATAAAAGTATACCAATATAGAACCGAGCAAAGAACATCTCTGAAATACAACTCTTCAGGAAATTTTAAACAATTTCATACTTTTTTTTGTTAGGCAACTACTAATGTGCAGTTTGAAATCTTACATGCATTACAACTGAAAAGGTAGAGTCAATAGTTGAGTTACGTCATTTTCATTTTTGTCGCCTTTGCACTCTCTTTGATGTAATCTTTATTATATCTGAGTCCTGCATCTTGGTCCCACATTCTTCTGTGATAGCTTGGGACTTCTCTTGTCTGAGATCTTCTTTTGAACTGGTGGGCAAAGTACTCCTGGACTCACTGAGAGACAGAAGTTGATCTTCTCCTGCTGAACTAGACACAAGGGCTTGTGTATTTAGCAATGCAAGTTCTTCGTCAGCTATTGAATCACGTTCCAAAAGAGAAATTTCATTGACTTTTTTAAGTGGAGTCTTCTGAGGAGCATTCAGTTCTTTTTCCTTTGTAGGTGTTTCGTATTTGGTGCCACAACTCCGTGGTGGCTGAAATGCCTTCTGTGCAGCTGGAGAAACAAATGTACAAATGGGACTAACAGGGGGATGTAAAGGCAGTCGACTCAGGAAATCCAAGGCTCTTCTTCTTTTGCAGTTTTTTGGGTCATCAATCCCTTTCTCTGCTTTACAGCAAGACTTTGAAGTCATTTGGGCTGATACAGGTGTGGGCACAGACTTCCCTTTTGGTGTACAAAGCAATAAAGGACCCTGATGATTTTGCTCATTATTAGAAGACTTCTGACAAAACAAAAAGTAGCCTGTCATAATTATGTACTAGTATATAAAACAAAATCAAATTAAACTTTCATTGAAAATATTTAAACATACAAATACCACACATTCTCATTCATCCAATTGCTAATAGGTTAGATGATTTCAGGAACTCCTTATCATTCCTATTCTTTATGGAACCAAGGTTTGACTTTAGGACTTTGTACTTGCATAACAGATGATTTACCTCTCGACCCACACCCCCAGCCCAAGAAATATTTTTGCATAAGAGGATATAAAAGGATATTAAAATTCCTTGTTGAAAGAAAGATGAAGCTTATAGTCATAATAAAAAACAAACAAACAGAGCAGGGGATATCACTTATGCTTTTATCTTTTCTTTTTATCATTAATAGATTAAATAAAGATAAGCATTTTAAAACCATGTTAAGAACACACACAGCTTTTATAATAGCTGTGTTCTAACAGCTACTTTTCTAGCTTTGTGACCTTAGGTAACTAATTAACCTCTTTCTAGGCCACAAGTCTCCTCATCTGTAACTCACAGAAGTGTGTGTATTTGGCAGTACTGGAATTTGAACTTAGGGCCTCTACCACTGGAGTCATGCTCCCAGCCCTCACAGGGTTATGAAGGGTTGTTGTGAAGATTAAATGAGTTACTATGGCTACACTTAGTGTTAGCTATCTGGCCAATATTAAGAGACTTTAGTTTGATTTGCATCTACTGTGGTTTAATGAGTTAAGCTGAGCTTGGAAACAACTGTAACCATATGGAACAGTGCTCCTAGCAAAAGAAACAAGCACAAAGGGCTTTTCAATCAAATGTACTTAGAATGCTAAAAATGAAAACACTATGTAAAAGTTTGCCCCCCAAAGAGTTTTACATTCTTGCTTCAATAAATAAGATATAACTTCCAAATACCATATACCTATAGCAGCTACATAACAATTAAACATACTTCCTCATTAAGTTTAACTACATTTTACCATACTTGCTAGTACACACTATATACTGTTGACTCCAAATATTTCTTCAATTTACATTAACTTACCAGAAACTTATTTTCTGTACTATGGACTGTGTAAGCAGTGCATGGCTCTGACTTGCAGTCTTTAGGTGGGGTGGACCACTTGGGATCATTTGCATTAAGCAGATGCATAAGCTTCTGTTCTGCATCACTGCAAAATGTATCAATATTCTAGGAAAATAAATTAGAGAAGCTGTTTTGAAAATACTTCCAGGAAGTATTTTCCTGGAAAATTTAACCAAGTATTTCCTTTAAAACCACAAATAAAAAATTTAAACCAGAACAAAAGAATGAGACACCCAAAATTTGATAGCAAATGTTAAACACGCCAATGCAAAAATGCAGAACCAACACCACTAATTTAGGGGAATCTATCTGTTTGGAAAAGGGGTTGAGGAGAGAGAGAAAGAATGAGTGTATAAAGGAATGAGATGTAAGAGCTCTTCATAGTTGTATGGTTTTCTCCGCAATGTATCATGATATTGGATCTGGAGGGGGAAGACTGAAGCTCATGTTCCAGCTCTATTTACTCCCTCATAGTTGGAGTATAAGGAAAGAACTGGCTTGCCTGCTTGGTGTCTGTCCCAAGAATTAACTGAAATAATGTACAGGTTAAACTATGTAAACTGAAGTTTGAGGAATCACAACTGATCAAATGTCAACAATGTCCTATGGTTTAATTCATATATGAGAGTATTTTGCAAAACTTTAAAATCCTGGGATGTAAACAATAGGTTCCTTATATAGGGGCCAAATAATGAATGCAATTCCCACCCCCAATTTAGAAACTAGGTAAGTCAGTGTTATTCTTCACTGTGTATATTGAGTCTTTATAAAGTATGAACACAAACTTCCTTTATACAACTAACTACTCCAATGCTTTTAAAATATATTAGAAAAATTCTGAATAACACACATTTCAAATATTAAATTACTGAATAAAAAGGCTTATTTTTTGTGGATTCTTCACTAGTACAAATTTATGAAATCTGAAATTTTATAGATAGGCAGAATTGTGTCCTACCAACTTGGTGTACAACTTAGTTCAAATCATTTAATTTCTGCTTCCCACCAATAAAATGGAAAAATGACCCTCTACCTTACAGGGTTGTTGGGGGAATTAAATAAGGCAGGGTTAGAACAATACCTGACCCACAGTAAACACTCAAACATCACTTAATATTGTTACATAATTATATTTAAGTATAAAATGCATACATGAGCTAAAAATAATTTTAGTGTTTCCTATCTGGGATTAATTTAAATTGAAGAGGTATAAATTATAGGATACTAGATACAGAGTTTAATTGCAAACTTGTAGTCTATACATTATTAACTAATCACATGATGACTGCTGCAAACCACAGGTAACTCAGATTACTCATTTCCAATGTCTAATTTGCTACATGGTCTGTATCTCTGAGCAGCCACCTAACAATTTCTGCTATTTCATTCAAGTCATTCTTTTTCTTCCTGTAACTATCATCTCCTATTTCCCTATCTCTTCAGAGGTTTCATGGGCAACTAAATATATGATGAAACCTTACCTTATGTACTACCTCAACCATCCAATTTTCATGAATACCACATCTCCCTGGACTGTCAAAGGAAGAAAATATCAAAATGTGTGGTGATGCTGAAAAGTAATTTTACCTTGATAGTATTCTTAATTTTGTTGAATCTCTCTTGAAAGTGGCCTTCTTTTAGACTGGCAGAAAACATGGAAAAATCTCCAGCAAATAAAGTAGGAATTCCTGATTTGGATTCTGGTCGCCACTGCAGGTTGCTTGCAGCAATCAATATACGAGGTTTAATAATGTCTTCATTAAGATCTATCCAAAACTTTATTGCCAATAAATTATGGTATTCATCTGACAAATATACTAAAGGAGCAAGACCTAAAATGAGAAAGTCATCATTAAATATAAAAATGCAAGCAAGGGGCCACAATATGCCTATTTTACTGGCTGGAAATAGTAAAAACAAAGTAGCTGACTTTAGAGAAAACTCAGGATTTTCAAAATGACTTATCGATTAAAGTGCTAAAATTTCAACCACAACACATTCCGTCACCAAAGCCATGGGGCAGCAGGTATACTCAGACATTCCTGATGAGAGTTGTACAATCTCTCAATGCCAGAAAAGCTACATTTGCATTTACCTTTCCGTTCAGTACAGTTTCTAGCATTCCACTGTGAAGATAGATCTCCAATACTAATAAAATGTACAGGGACAAGGGTCATGAAAATGCCTGTGAATGAGGTTATTCATGAAGCATTTTCTGTAATGGTAATATATTAGAAGCAACCTATATTAGCACATTACTGCAGAAGTGGCTGGGTGAACTATGGTACATCCACACAATGGGTACCAGGAAGCTGTAACAAAAGAATGAAAAAAAAAACTGTCAACTGATTTCCAGGACACAGTGTTACATGAAAAAAGAAAAGCACAGAAGAAAGGCTAAAGTATGTTATCTTTCATAAATGAAAGGAGACAGAAGAAAATATATGTGTATCTGTTCATTTGAGCAAAAAAACCCAGGAATTGAAGGGACAGAGTGTGGTGGGGAAAAGAACTAGGATCAGGAGCAGCAATGAGGAGGGAGCAACACTTTTCTGAGTGTATCTTTTCATATTGCTCTGACTCTTTCTTTTAGTAAGTCTTGGTTTTAAACACCACTCCACTGAAAAAGAAGCAAAGTTCCTTGGAGAAATGCTTGATTAAAGGTCTGGGCATGGAATATACATGACAAACCTGGAATGGCACAGCATGTGTTGCTAAAAAGTAAAAAAGTGCTCAGAAAGCAAAGGAGATTTGTTGAAACCCAGGTGTCAACTTAAAAGGCTCCTTATGACTGAGCTGAAGAATTTGAGCACAGTGAAGGTACTGAATTTTTTTTTTTTTTTTGGTGAGACAGAGGTTTGATCTCAGAGCTTCATGTTTGCACAACAGGTATGGCTTGAGCCATACCTCCAGTTCCTTATGCTCTGGTTATATCTGAGATGGAATCTTGAAAACTATTTTTTGTTTGTTTTCGGCAGTACTGGGGCAAGTTGTAGGTACCAGGCCTACAACTTGAACCACTCCTCCAGTCCTTTTGTGTGATGGGTTTTTTCAAGATAGAGTCTCTTGAACTATTTGTCCAGGCTGGCTTCAAACTGCAATCCTCCTCATCTCTGCCTCTAGAGTAGCTAGGATTACAGGTGCCCAGCAAGTCTTGAAAACTATTTGCCTGGGCTGACCTCAAATTGAAACCCTCCTGATTTTAGCCTCCCAAGTAGCTAGGATTACAGCCATGAGTCACCAGTGTCTGGAAAGGTACTGAATTTTAATTCACAGAATAGGATAAATATTCCTAAGACTATACTGATATAAATAATCAATACACTGGAGGAAAAGGGACTGCTTCTCATAACAGAACTTCAGTTCATGTAGAAGGGAAAAAAAAGCTATAATTTGGCAATTATTACAGTAACAATTGCTGCAATTAAGTTAACTTAATGGGTGAAAATCTGGGGTAAAACAGAATTTGTACCATTCAAAGAATCTTCCTCAAGATACCTATTAAGTACAGAGAAGGAGGCAGTTTATTCTGTAAGAGAGAAGCTTGCAGGTATTACCTTAGGCAAGCAGTCAAGATTACCAGTACGAGTAACAAGAAACAGCAACATTATTACCCCTTGACCCAATGTATTAAGCGCACACATAATCATTTTGGCAACAATCTTGCCCCAAATGCACAGCTGCATTCAAGTCATGAGAAAACATTTTAGACAAACCCAACTTAAGGGAAATGGTATAAAATAATGGTCGATCCATCATAAAAGTGTCACAATCATAAAAAATACAAGCCAGTGCTGGGCACTGGTGGCTCATGCCTGTAATCCTAGCGACTCAGGAGGCAGAGATGAGGAGGATCGTGGTTTGAAGCCAGCCTGGGCAAATAGTTTAAGAGACCTTATCTTGAAAACGCTCTTCATGAAAAAGGACTAGTGGAGTGGCTCAAGGTGTAGGTCCTAAATTCAAACCACAGTACTGGAGGGAAAAAAAAGCCAACTGGAGAATCGTTAAAGATGGGAAGAGACTACAGAGCACTAAGGAAATGCAATGTGGGTTCCTGGAATAGCAGAGGGTCATAGTGCAAAAAACTTCAAACTCAAATTTAAACAAGTCTATAGTAGGTAGAGGTAATGACACTGTGCCAATGTCAACAACCTGATTCTAATAACTGTGCTATGGTCAAGTAAGACAACATTGGGGAGGTGAGTGTGTGGCTTACATCTGTCATCTCAGGTACTAAGAGGCAGAGATAGGGAAGATCTTGGTTCCAGGCCAGCCTGGGAAAGAGTTAGCTGGACCACCATCTCAGCAACAATAAAAAAGCTAGGCATGGTGGTCTATGTCTGTCATCCCAGCTATATAGGAGGCATAAGCAGGAAGATCACGGTCCAGATCTGCCTGGGCCAAAAAAAAGAAAAAAAAGTAAGATGTTATTGAAAAATAAATAAAGCAAAAAGGGAAGGGCTGGGGCTTGTCTAGCAAGTGCAAGGTCCTGAGTTCAAACTCTAGCACTCGAGAGAGAGAGAAAGAAAGGAGACAGAGAGAGAGTGAGAGACAGAGAGAGAAAGGGAGAGAGAACACATTAAGGAAGCTGGGTGAGGAATATTGGAACCTCTGCACTTATTTTTGCATTCTTTTTGAAGGCCTGAAATTAGTTCAAAATAAAAAAAGTTAGGAGGTGCATGCGTGGTGATGCATGCCTGTAATCCTGGCACTCAGGCTGAGGGAGAAGGATTACAAGTTCAAGGTCAGCATGGGCTACATAGTGAGATCCTGTTTCAAAAAAATAAATATACATATATAATTCTAATATAAAAATGGGTAGACACATTGGATAAACCATAGTAGGACTGAGGCTAGAAAAAGCTAGGGTTGGACTAGGCACTAAAGCATTCAATCCTGCTATTTACAGTTTCTTACTTCTGTTACTCTGAAAGTTATGTGCTTTTAACAAATAACAGGAATGGAAAGAATTGCCACTCTTAGGTAATGATTTGTTTATCCTGTTGCAAGTGAAGTTTTATTGTTTTTAGTTTTTCTAATTTACAGATTTAATGGATTTTTTTGGGGGGTTGTTGAACTCAGGGCTTCATGTTTGCTAGGCAGGCACTCTACCTCTTGCTCTACTCTGCTTTTAGAGATACTATAAACAATATAAAATTTCTAAACACATTCAATTTTCTAATTTTGGAGTCAGCTTCTAATTATATCCAAAATTTGATTACATTACTGACCTTCTGCCAAATGTCCTTCTTTAAAGTGTTTCCTTCGACTATAAAGCAATTCACGCTTATTGAAAAATATTTAGAATAACACATAGAATAAAATGGTAGTTTCCTCATTTTTTTTTTTAGTAAGGAGAGATTTTGTATCTGGATCAAATTACATCAAAACAGTTATTTCTCTAATTATAACACATCCTTGTATAAATGGCAACATCAGGAAGTTTTCATTTTGTTTTTTTTAAGATGGGGGTCTTGTTAAATTGTCAGAGTTCAAAATCCTCCCACCTCAGCCTCCAAAAAAGCTAGTTACGGGCATGACCTACTATGCCTGGAAGAATTTTTTAACCTAACATCTTTAGAATGTTGGCACTAAATAAATCTTTGTGAAATAAAAGGATAAAAAGAAAAATGTTCCTTAGTTTTGTAGTCTGAGCTACTCTGAACTTGCAAAGGCTTCTATGTAGCTTAATCAATTCCTTTTAGAAAATTAAAATGACAAAGCACTGAGAAGTTTATAAAGCCACTGTCTCAGACTCCACCTGGAATGGACACAGGTGCAGATCTCCCAGCTCCTGTGGTGTTGGCTCCTGACAACTCCTCTCCTAGGCCTTCCCTCACTTGAGCAGTTCTGCACCCTAAAGAAAGCCAGAACCAATAACTGGCCCCTTGCCTCATGTTGGTGTGGCCAAAGGGCCATCCCAGCTCCATAAGTCTCCTTGGAATTGGCAAAACCTTTCTTCCCAATCTTCTTCTATGTGAAATCTGAGTCTGTTCCCATGAAACCAAACATAAGAAATGATCTCATTTATTTTATATCACAATGTTTCTGTAATACAGAGGTGCCTGTTTTAAGACCAATTTTCAAATGTTGGGTTTGGCTTTGTTTGTTTTGGCAACAGGAAGAAAGAACACATGAGCGTTAGAGCCTGAAAACATGGGTTCAAAGCCTTTTATAGCACAGAATCTGGAGCAGACTGTTCAACCTCTCTGAGTTTCAGTTGCCATATCTGTGAAGCAGGATGATAAAGGGGGAATGAACAGATCCCTATGAGGATTTCATAAGATGCTATATACATGAGCTTTCCAGTCTTCTACCACTACTCCATTACATTAAGCAGCAGCAATAGAAAGAAATTAAAACCACAGTCCCTGTCCTCAAAGAGATAACAGTATTATTAGGGTTGAGGGTATAGTCAGAAATGGAGAGACAGGATCATACAACAGGTGACAGAAGCTGGAGGAAGGGAGTTCTAACCAGACTGGTATGCATCTGGCCAGGGAAATAAGCAAAAGGTGAAGAAAAATAATTTTTAAAGGTAGGAAGCATTGAATATTAGAGTATGTCAGGAATATGAAACTGTACAGTTTAGCTGAGGCTGGTGGGGTGGTAATTTATGGCATGAAGTTGAAGGAAGGTTTTTTAAGGCATATGAAAGTGTTTGGGTAGGTTGGAGGCTTGGCTCAAGCAGCAGAGTGCCTGCCTTGCAAGTGCAAAGTCCTGTATTCAGATCGCAGTTCCACAAAAAAAAAAAAAGAAAGAAAAATTGTTTGGATTTCAATTTTTAAGGGACTGAAAGCCACTAAAGTTTTATGCTGAGAAGCATCATGAT